TGTGGTAAAAGAATGTTTTTGAAACAAATACTACAAGTTCTTGTCACATATAATGCAAATATTTTCTCTAACTAACCAGTGATCTTTTTTTCTTTAATTTACATGATATTACTTGAACAAAATGTTGAAAATCTTTTACTTTTATTGTATTTTAGGACATGAGGAAAGGAAAGTTGGCTGAAGGAGAAGCCACCCTTCGAATGAAGGTGACTCTTGAAGAAGGAAAGCAGGACCCTGTAGCATATAGAATTAAATTTGTTGCCCACCATCGAACAGGAAAAACTTGGTGAGTAATGTTAAAAGGTAGAAAAATTTTTATCACTTTTTAACATCAGTAAAATGCAATAGCTATTTCATTTTGCCTTATTGCCGATTCTGAGAATGTGGGCTCTGAATTTAATATACTGCAACAGAATTTTATATTTCATTGATCGGCAATTATATTTGAAAAGTGCTAGTTAGTGACATTATTTTTTTTTCTGATAATTTAATGTTATTTTAATGACTAAAAGAATTGTGTACATTTGTTTCTTGTACTTATTAATTTCATAAACACTTATTCTTTGTTTTAGCTAATATGCATTATGTATAAGGAATATCTATTGAGGGATGCAAGTAAAACAATTATTGAAATGGCTTTATGCTAAAAACTAGTTTAAAATATTCAGTTTAATGTACTTTATTTTACCTGTATATTTAATTAACAAAATCCAAAATTTTTGTACAATATTCTTCAGGTGTATCTACCCAACATATGATTTTACTCACTGTCTGTGTGATTCTTTAGAGCACATTACCCACTCTTTGTGCACAAAGGAATTCCAGTCCAGGTAATTCATTATAACTTTTAGAATGTTTTTGCAGTTTTTGGGCTATTGGAGTAGTAAAAACCTAAAAGCCTTGTACTTTTTCCTTGATGAAAAAAAGTAGTAATTTTGTTTCAATGTTTGATAACCTATGTATTTTATACTTAACAAAAGCCTGGAATAATTATACACGACATTACATTTTTCAGTTAGGTAGTCATTTATAATGATGTAAATACATTTTAATATCTTGCAAAATTATAAACATTTTAATATATAAAAAAAGCTACATTAAACAGTACTTGTACTGTTAAAGAGAATATTTTATTGTATTAACTTCATATAGTCACAAGGATTGGGCAAGACTGTTTTAGGATGTTAGCAGAAATTTACATGTTTCTTTACTTTGAATGTAGAACTTTAAATTTTGTGAAAAAATTTCACATTTCATACATAATACTTTTTTTTTAAATTTTGTGCCAGAAAAAGAAAACAGTAAATGATAAGACTTAATTTTCAACTTAGGAGGTCTTCCTACTACTGGCTTTGCAATGCTCTGGACATATATTGCCCTGTTCAGTGGGAATATGGTCGACTGAACATGAATTACACTGTTGTCTCCAAAAGAAAAATTGCTAAGTTAATATCAGAAAGAATTGTAAGGTGAGTTGCAAAAAAAGTAAGTTTTTAAATGTTTTTACAGAAGAAAACATCTACATGCAGACTTTTTTTTCTTTTAGGAATTTAATATTTGTGACTTAGATGGAAACATTTTTTAATCTAATTTATAAACCATCTTTCTGGTTTCTTGTTTTTAGAGACTGGGATGACCCACGCCTTTTCACCCTTACAGCACTAAGAAGACGAGGATATCCTGCCGAGGCTATTAATAACTTTTGTGCTCAGGTAATGCAGGGCCTTATTGAATATTATCAAAATTAGTTTAGAAATTAATGAATTAAATAATTTTATGTAGCAGTACTTTTGCAGTACAGCTGCATAATACTTATGAAGACTGTAGTATTTATTAAGCAGTGCTTCTGCATAGCAGCTACATAATACTTATGAAGCAGTGCTTCTGCATAGCAGCTACATAATACTTATGAAGCACTGCTTCTGCATAGCAGCTACATAATACTTATGAAGCAGTGCTTCTGCATAGCAGCTACATAATACTTATAAAGCATTGCTTCTGCATAGCAGCTACATAATACTTATGAAGCAGTGCTTCTGCATAGCAGCTACATAATGCTTATGAGTCACTGCTTTTGCAGCACAGCTACATAATATTTATGAAGCTTCAAGTCACACGATAGTGTGTCGGGCTGGCAAAAAACAACACATGACACCCAGTGTCTTATTAACAGGAATGAAAACTCTGGGTTTTTCAACCATCAGTATAATTGCCCCGTTAATCAAAACTCTTCCATTTTTTTGTGTGGTAGACCTCCTTACCTTACATGCTAAATTTCAAAGAAATCGCTTTGACCTTGATCATTTTACAGCAGGCCAAACTTAGCCTGAAATTCTTTTTCTCCTTTTTTGCACCAGTGACAAAAAAAAAAACTTCCCATTAATTGATTTCTTTCAAATTTGGTAAATAGCTGGCATATATTAACAGCAAATTTGGTTGTAGCAGCTCAAGTATTCTCATTAATATGAGCAAAAATAAGCAAATATAATTGTTAAATCTCGTAAATTTTTGCACTCGGCTGTAGAAACATTGGCTAACTCAATCTTGCTGAAATGTCTACCACACATTCTCAAAAATTGTCCATTTTTACTTTTATAAAAATCAGACACGAAATCCAGAAGTTAAGAGTCCAAAACCACCATTGTGTAAGAATTTTCACTGTGATTTTTACATACTATTTTGCATCAGACTTCAAACTATAAAATGCATCCCAGTACATGATTGCCTTCATTTATGGTATATAGCTAGCATATTTTATAATATCACTTTATCTACTGTATAAAACTATACAAGGAACATGATATCTATTGAAAAAACTACTTGGTTGAAAAGGGTGTGGATAAAATAAAGCAACTGAAACATATGAACTCAAAGTTATTGAGGTATTAAAGAAACCCACATGCAATTATAATGTCTCCAAAAAATATACCTTCCCATTGAACTTTGTATTTAATAGATAATATAAAACCACTTGATCTGTTAACAGTATTATGTTAGCCTTATTATCATCTCTGATTAGAACTTAATTACAGTGATGGAAAAATTATTGTATCACCCAATTTTTTCACACTTTTCTTGGTTCCTGTAATTTTTTACGAGATTGTGCATTGTGGAAGTGTCAGTACTAATGTAAAATGGTTATGGACATTGTGTGGTATAAACCGACTCGTATTTCAGTCATACAAATGCATACAGGCATTTTTATTAACAAACCAATTGTGACAGATGTAGCAGTTTATCAACAAATACGAAAATGTTCTCTGAGTAAGAAAACCTAGATTTAATGATAATGCCACTAATGTAATTGACATAAAGTAGTCACAGAGTCTGTTTCTTGTTTTAATATTTGGTTGTTCCCCTTCTGGCCTTGATAACTGCTTGACAATGCCATAGAATAGAGTGCAAGAGGGACTGAATGTAGGCAGGGGTGAGTTCTTGATGTCACATGATAATTAGGGCTTCCTGCAGTTCGAAGGTGCTTCCCAGTTTTTTCTCTTGCAGTTTGTTACCCATTACCTTCCATCAGTTTTCGATAGGGTTGAGATCTGGGTTGCTGCTAAGCCAGTGTAGTGTCTTGATCCTTTCCCTTTGAAGATAATGCTTCAACTGGAGCAATGAATTAAAACCTAAGATCTTTTCAAAACAAGAAGAGTGAAATTTCCTCCTTATTTCACATCTACTGCATAGAGTGTATGAATATTACCAACCTTTTTAGCCCTGTGGCATGGAGCAGAGTCATTCTGGAATGTGCACTTGTCAGCACCACCAAAGAGATCCAGAATTGTTGGCTTTAACCAGAACTTGAGGAACTCAATGTACTTGTTGATATTGACAATGCCTTTAATACAATGCAGAGGTACCACACCCTGCCCAGAGATGCACTCCCATGTCATTTGACCTTGTGGATGCATCACGGTTGCACTCAAGTATGCTGGATGAAAGTTTTCGACATTGATGTCATACAAAGTGCTTCCCATCATATTTATACAAGTTGAACCTTGATTCATCTCAGAAGATAACTTTGCTCCACTTTTCATCAGTCTAGTCATCACACTCTTTGGCCCAGTTAAGCCTCATCTTCATCATCCTGTTGATGAGGAAGGGTTTCTTTCTTGGCCATCTTTTCTGGAAAACTGGCTAAACACAGGTGAGAATGGATGGTGTGTGCAGTGACAGTGACCCCTGAAGTTTCCTGCCATGCTTTTTGAGTTTTGTGGACAACAGTTGACAATAGGCTTCTAAACTGATTCTCAGTAAGAACCTCTATTTATGGCCAAATAACAGCTGATGCAATACCCAGTCAGCCTACAAAGCTGCTGATGTAATAATTGAACAGTATTGAATCATCCAAAAAACACATTTGCACCTACATGCATTAGGGCCTCAAAAGAGATGATGATTCTGAAGAAAAATGTGAAAAACTGGATGATGCAATAAATTTTTCCACCACTGTATTTTCTTGTCATTTTAATAACTTATTTTTATTTTAACCTTGGGTTCTAGCTTGGAGACTGGTTGAGTAAATTTTGCAGTACCTGCACAGTAAGAGTGGGGTTTTCTTAGCCATTCTCATTTTCCTCCCACATCCAATTCTTTTTTCATTGGACTTGTTAATATATGCTGCCTGTAGTTGGACAACATACTGTCATTGATAGCCTGCCCTCTTTTCTGGGTCTTACATTTGTTTACATATATATAGTTACAATGCTATATATTATAAATCATTGTAAGTTATATCTGTCTATATCTATATAACTTATGATGATTTATATGCATTTGAGTAGGACAAAAGAGTTTGCTTAATCTCTGAGCAATCTAGCTATTAAATTTCAAATCCCTACCACTAACGAAGATAAATGTTTGGCCTAATTTTTGAAGTTGGTAATTATTAAATAGTAGATCATTCATATACTTGGGTCAGTGATATAAACTCTAAAGATTTATAAAAGAAAAACCTCACATAATGAATTGATGCTCAACTTAGTTATGTGTTTATATAAATATAATAGTACTTTCTCTTGTCTGTCCATGTAACTACTTCACAAGGTGTGGATGGATCTTCACCAAAATTAGTATGGTGGTTCATTAGGTCCATGCAGGGGTACATACAAATTTTCAGTTTTGAATTTTATGGTTTTTATTAGCATTTTTGCAGTTTTTACCACTGCCTCATCTTCTGTGGATGGATCTTTTCCAAATTTGGTATGGAAGTTCATTGGGTGCATGGAGAGATACATACAAATTTTCAGTTTTCCACTTTGTGGTTTACAGTCTTTTATGAGTGTTTTTGCATTTTTTACCACTACTCCTCCCCTTCTTGATGGACCTTCACCAAATTTGCTTAATCTCTGAGCAATCTAGGTATTAAATTTCAAATCCCTACCACTAACTGTATACTTTTATAGTTGGGTATGTGCAGAGATATATACAAAGTTGCAGTTTCACGTTTTGTAGTTTTTATGGGCTTTTTTTACAATTACATACAAGGAAAGCAACTTTTCATGTCATAAGATAACCTTTCATTAATCATGCATTTACATAACTTCTGTCCGGGGGGGGGGGGGAGATACTCCAGCTAGTTTATAATTTACCTCTATTTGGAGCTGGAGTCAAACTTTCAACATTACTTGTCAGCTTATCTGTATTAAGTTAATTGTGAAGGTAGAACAAGCAAACTTGGTTGATTTCTAGTTGGTTTATAATATTTCTCAACTTTTGTTAGGCAGAATGACAATGTCAGGTAAAATAAACACTTTTACTGTCAGTTACTGTGTTGTGCTTGGTGAAACTATAAATATCCTGATACACTAAAACAAATGAGCTTTTTCTTGTATGAACTGAGTTTAATAACATGCATGGTTGAATTATAAAAAAAAAAAATTAATCAGAGGTTTATTTGTAAGAATGCAATGCATTTTACCATTTACTAATTTGCATATTTTTTTGTATTGTGTTTTCAAATCATATTTACAACTTAATTTTACTAACGTGTATGTTGCTACAAATGTGTAACTTTTGGAAAGACTTGGTAAAGCTGTAAACTAATGAATACTTAAAAGAGTGTGTACACGAATGTGTATGTTGACGTCAATAAACATCTTGCAATCAAGAATCATATTACCCTCTGCCCTCAAGAAAGAAAAATAGAAAGTTTTATCATAGTGTTTGAAGTTTGAATATTTTGAATCCAGATGTTATTTTCTTTCTTATGCACCATTACTCATGCAAACATTATTATGCCTCTTTATAAGTGTTAGCAAGTGTCAGAAAAGCTTAATGCAGTAGTGATTATAAAATATGGAATGTGGTTTTAGATTAGTTAATGCCCTTGAGTTGAAAACCTTTGTTTTAGATGTAACATCTATGTGCCTAGTTTATATAATGAAAAGTTTTATGAATTTCTGTTAAAAACTGTAAATAAGTAACACCTGATTTTTTGAACATGTAAAGTTTTAAATCTGTCATGTAAAGTTGGTAATTAATCATTTTATTTATATCACGTTTTTTTTTAAAAACTGTCATATAATATATAATTTTCCCTAATCATTCTTCCATTAGATGGGGCTAACAGGAGCCCAGATATTTGTTGACCCACAGATGTTGGAAGCTTGTGTTCGTGATGTACTCAATACCACAGCACCACGGTATGACTTAGATTATAGCTCACCACCAGTTTCTTAATTGTGAGAAACAATAATAATACTTGTGAAATGTATACCAGGAATAACTACACTGTATGTAAAAATGATTAAAATGATAATTATAATTTGTAATAATTTAGCCAAGACAAGAAAAAAAAACACTATTATTAAATTCTAGAATATTTAAGAATTTCTAAATGAAAGTAAGCTAATCAATCGACTTTCTGGTTCATTTTTATCTGAAATGTGAATGATTGATTATTTAGCTTATGGTTGTATATGAGCATTTAATTAGGTAGAGATAGCTTTACATCTTTATAGTTCATAACATTTCACTTTCATATGAAGAACAGCAAAGCCAACATAGCACTTTTGTTTATTTAAAATCAAGAGTGTTGACTCTGAAGTATTGTCAACCACTTTAATTTAATGGCTGTTTTGAGGGCATCTTTAAACTGGAGTCATCTGTTCATATTTATGTCTGTTGAGTTTACTAGCCTCTCCATTTCCTCTTCAAGAAATGTATTGACTGGTTCAATATAATCGGGGCAAGTTGTAATTGTACTAGCTTATGACAACACAAAAAGGTTATTTGCTGTGGTCCTTGCAAAGGTACCACTCTGCAGAATATGGAGATTAATAATTCCAACAAAGCTTATTCCTGCTCACAAGTGCTTCCAACAATGCCATATGTGTGTTCCTATATGAAAATGGGTTGGGTCTGGTTCCAGATCCTCTCCAAATGGATACAAGTGTTATCTGGCTGAAGGTTGAGTCATGACTTATTTTAATATAAAAAGAATATTTTCAGTAATTTAACTATAACAAACGGGCCTAGACATTAGAGTTTTGAGATATACCTGTCTGTTAAACAGTTTTAAATTTAGTTTATTTGTATTAACTAAATGGTATCCTGTCCAGGTACAAGCAATAGTAAAGAAGAAATATCATAAAATTATGATTGGCACTGTATTTGGTTAGGTTGCACATTTGTTATGGAATTAGGTTTAATCAAAAGGACAGTAGGTTTTAATAAATAGGTTTTTCTTATTATTAATATATATATGTATATATTATAACCTTATGCTTATTGCTTCAAGCTATTGGTACACAGGAGTAAGTATTGGATAATTTAGCATCATAGGCTGGACATAGATAAAAGTTACAAGACAATTGTATTAAGACTAAGACATATAAGAATTATTGAGTGAATAATGTACAAGCAGCTCTGAATGGCCTCTGTGATATTCCTGGTTTAGAGGAATGTCATACAGGAAAATTACCTTGAATAAAGAAAGGCTCAAAGATTTGGTTGGAGAACAAGTACAGAAAAGAAGCAAACACATATGATGAACTCAAAATGCTGTTTATTTCATGTTATACACTTACTTTACATTGTTTTGAGTTGAAAAATACAATTGAAGTGAAATAAAACTAAAACTAGAAGTGAAAACTAATAATAAGATATAACAATGCACAGTTGCATATATGACAATGAGCATATTTGGAAACAGCACTTTACAGAACATCATGGACCTTTCAACACAGGAGCTTATTTCTCTGAACCAAAAACTTCCTTCACAATCCACATTTTCTCTATGATTGACCAATAATAAATTTGATTCTAAGACTTATCTCTGCTTCAATCTGATAATCCTCTATTACACAAGGAAAAGTAGCATAGAATACAACTGCTCCCTAAAACAGTAACTTCTGTGATTGGATTATGCTACAGAAAGTAACACCAAACTGAGTTTTGCACATTACGTAATATAAATTTAGTGTGTTACAGAACTAAAAATTGGAAAATTTTAAAAGCTTTGCTGGTACAAAATATATGTAATATGTCATATTTGCTTATTGCAACATGTACATAGCCTGTTGCTTTTCATTTCAAATACATTAAAAGCTGTACTCAAAAGAAAATAATAAACCCTGAATATCCACTCAGTAAAATTTGGGCATTTGAGATACACGTAGTGTACTTTATTTTTCTATTTTACTTTTGTAGCAAACATTCTTAGAATAGGTCTCAGTTTGATATTGTTTTGTAACTTTTAAGTTCCAAACAGCATTCAGCTAATATGGTATTGCTGCAAAAACAAGTATTGATCTCACACGTTTAACATAGCCATAATGCAGAACATGTCTTTAGAAACTTTGGTTTGTATTCATTAATTTTGTATATACTTCTAATAATAGCTATTTATTTTTGAAATTATAACTAGTTTTTCACTCCCATTTTTTATCAGAATAAACATCTTTTTAAAAACCAATATAAGGTATATGTATATAATTTATATAAGTATTTACTTACATATAGGTCTCATAATAGACTTAAGAAATTATATTTCAATATTACATCATGTAAACAAAGTTAAAAATATTATTTTTTGTAGCTCTTGTATAGGATAATACACTTGTACTCGTTACAGACAGCTAAATAAGGACCTGATTGCAGAAGAGTATATTCACGACCACAACTGATATATCACACTTGCTACTAGATAAACACCTTGTGAGACGTGTGTGTTATTCACTGTCATAAATGCATTTCAAAATATAAAATTGTCCAATTTCTTGTTTGATAGTGGTATGAAAAAAAATACGTATCCATAATGAGAAATACTTTTACAATTATTTCTTTGTCCCAAAATTATAAATGTAAAAAAATAACTGCTCAGACTGAAATGTTGTACAGTATTGGTGGGTTAAATAATATTTAATCCTGTTTGGCTGGTTTTAACTTACATGTCTGAACCTGAAAAGAACCTGCCCCAGACAGTTGGGCTTACATTAATGTTGAGCTCAGACACAACTACTGTTTTTGTGTGCTATCTATACACCCTCTTCACCCTAAGTTCTTTTTTATGCAAAGTAAGTGTCATGTGATCTGATATTTCAGCGGTATGTAAAAGTAAAGAATATAGTATGTTGTCTGTTAGCAGTATGAATAACATCAATATAGGAAAAAAAGGTTCAGATAGAGAAAAAGTATGTCAAAATCTCAATAAAGATGTTTGGACATTTCCATGATGTGGAAAGGGAAAGGTTAAATAAAAGCTGGCCAAACACAACAAGTCATTGAAGAGTGGTTACAAGCCTCACAAAATGCATTTAGAAGGATGTAGACTCGCTTTCATACCACTGTTACAGTTGGCCAGAGGCTTGGACAAAATAGGCCCCTTGTTGACAACTCTGTAAAAACAGATTTTATTTTGCAACTTAATTAACAGTTCATAGAAGTAACTGAATGACATGCCAGCATGCAAACTGCCAGAAATAGGCTTTGTAAGGTTGATCTTTATAGCCAATATTGTACATTCTTTAACTTGTCATCACAAAACAACTCTTCTTCAGTAGTGTTAAGAAGGTTTGGTCAGGACAAGCAACATAAATGTTTTGCATAAAAATGGATTTGTGAGCATTCAAGGATTTGCTTTGTACTAGATCCAACCCCAATTTCCCAGTAGAAAGACACATGTAGCAATAATGGTTTACTAGTCTTGTCAATTTTCAGTATTAGTAACCACACTGTACAAAATATGACACTTGAGTGTCATATGATATAAGTATATAGTCTTACTTACATCCATTAACTTTGGTCAGAACTTCTGTCTCACGGGCTGTAATTAACACTCAAGTGATTAGCAACTATCTGAAAAAAGAAGGCATTGAGTAAATGGACTTTTAACCAGATTTGAATCTGATTGAACATATGGGATACTCTGGGAAGACTCTTGGCAGCACATGGTACACCTCCAGGCAGTGTTGATGAACTGGAAGGAGCTCTGGTGGAGGATTGGGCCATATTAATGTAACTGCTCAATTATTCATTCACCTTAAACATGTAATATTATTGTACAACTTGAATTAATATCGATGGTGATCAAACACTATTAACATTCTTATCACTTGTTGGGTTGCAAAGTCTGTAGTTTGAAATAAGCACTTATGAACATGAATACAATAATAGATATTTGCATAAGTATGAGCTCAGGGTTGCCATTTTCATTACTTATTATCAGCAGTTGTACTTAGTCATAGATAGATAAAAAAGAAAACTGATTGTTCCATATTTTTAGCAGTGTATTACAGTTTCTGTTTATCCATTAATTATTTTGATATTGTATTCCTGTAATAATTAACAAGTTTGACAGAACTGAAGGAGTTATTTAAGGAGTTATTTTCAGTTTACACATTTCACAGAAGAACTCAGTTTTTAAAATAATATAAATTTTTTTTGACTATTTTACATTCAATCAGTACAAAGTTTCATGATCAAATGCATATTGTTGGGTTTCAGTTCACGTGCTGGACATAGCATAGATAGCCCATTGTGTAGCTTTGTGTTTAATAATGAACAAACCAAGGTGTTTTGTTACTAAAAATTACACATTTTAAACCTGAGTTCAGAAGTTTCTTTTAATTGATCTAATATTTAGGTCTTTGTTATTTCTTACACAATGGAAACTTGTGTATGCATAATTAGAAAAGTGTTAAACGTGAATAAAAGTATTAAGTTTCTTCAATTTTATATAAGTGATAATTTCCACTTGTCCCCTAGTGGTTCAATGTTAAGCTTATTAACTTACTGTGCTAAAATTAGACTTACTACCCTGAAATAGTAGCATAAAATACAGTTTATTTATGTGATTATATAATTATGACAAGTTTTATGTTAAAAATTCCATTTAAAGACTCGAGAAACCACAGAAAGGTTTTGAGAGCATATCCTTTATTTACATAATTATCAGAAATTGGAAAATTAAGTTATAGCTAACACAATAATATTGAAAGCCAAGTTGTGCATGTTTTTACATTATTTAAAACATAGACATTATTAGCAGGGTCTTTAGATGTACTAGTATCAATTACTGCTCACAGAAACTAAAAATAATTTTAAAATGTTTTATTACTAGAACCATGGCTGTCTTAGAACCACTGAAAGTGACAATTTTAAACTTTCCTCATACCAAATGTGTTCAGATTGAAGTTCCCAATTTTCCAGCTGACCCAAGTAAGGGGACCCACATGGTGACCTTTGGAAAGGTCATCTACATTGAAGAGTCAGATTACAGAGAGGTCAGAGGCGTCTTTGTAGCATTTTCTAGAATTAGTTAACGACTCTGTCAACAATTTTAAGTAGCAGTTAGATGAATAATCTTGAGTTTTCTTGTCAAAAAGAAAAGATTGAATAACCTTTTAATAAAAATTGTATTTTAGCACAAAAATTTAGATTCATTAAAAGATTGTAGTTTAAATGTTAAGAACCATATTTATATAAATGATCTATACTTTTAAAGATATATCTAATTTTTCTTTTCAACTTCACTGTTAGTTTTATGACCAGTTTTACAGTTACACAGTTTGTTTTGGTAATTTATTTGAGTGAAAACCAGCCATACTACAGTCCTGTAGTTTTGTATTTCATAGTGATTTGGTTAGAATTGATACCTCTACTATTTTTATAATTATCACACTCAGTTGAATATCATTCAAAATACTATTGTAGGAAAAAACAAAAATTAGTTTTAGGTATGAAAAATAATGTTGATATTTTAACAGATCCCAGAGAAGGGTTACCGACGGCTATCTCTGCAGCAGCCAGTAGGACTTCGTCATACTGGATATGTAATAATTTTTCAAAAGGCCATTAAAGTAAGTTTTTCTTTCTTTTGTGCTTTTGGTACAATTGTGTGCTTGCTTTTCATTCAAATCTACTGAAGTCTAGTTAGTTTAAACTAAATGTTTCAACTTCCACAACTTGGTTTTTAACAGTATGTTAATATTACTCTGTACAAAATATTAGGTTTTATGTAATAAAATAGTGAAACAATAGGCAATAAAATTAAGTTATCAATAAAATTAACTGAAATAAAAGAAAAAATAAGAAAAACAAGTATATTTAAAATAATTTGCTGACTTTAAATTGTCAGCCAAGAATCTGTACTTTTCATATAAATGTTGAAATATTCAGGACTAGTCTTGGTCATTTTGGAAACCAATAGTGTTATTACAAATGATAAATTTCTCATAGTAGTGAGAAACACAAAGAAATTATGAAGTAATCTTTTGATAAACCAAATAGTGAATGCTAAATAGGCCATGATTTCATGCAAATACCTGTAGTGAGTTTTTAAATGGAATATGGTATTGAAAAATTGGTATAAATATATATTTGATGTGTACAACTCTTACTTTTTGTATGTCATTTATTCTCACCAATAATTTGTTAATTTTACATTGTTTGCTTGGAAAAAAGGCATAGTTGTATTTTATTATTATATCCATTCATACAGGATTCTACAGGAAGAGTGATTGAGATAGAAGTGACTTGTCAGAAAGTTTCAGATATGGAGAAACCCAAGGCTTTCATACACTGGGTTAGTGAACCACTGACATGCGAGGTTCGGCTCTATGAGCGTCTGTGAGTATTTTTCAAACATCAAGTACAATGGTGAAAGTAATTGCAAGTATAATTTATATATATACACACACACACAGATATACACAAAATTGTGTATTTAATAGTTCAAAACTACAACTTTAAATGTCAAAACTGTGGTGTTACTCAAGTTTTCACTGGAACTGTGGTGGTTAAATGATTTTATATGTGTTATGTGTAATTGGTGGGTGTATAAGAATGTAAATCTCTCGACATCCATGCTTTCATATTAGAACTTTACAACCTTTTGATTGAACTCTCTCATAACTCAAATATGAAGCAGCTTTTAAACTAATTGACTTTTTTTTCAACTGTAAGTATCTTATTTATGCTTATAAAACACCATTTGTTTTAATTTTTAGAATAAATTATGAAGCAGTTCACCAAGTTAAATAAATTTGGTTTCTAAAAGATAAACTCTAAAAAATTGATTTTTTTTCCTCATCATTTCCTTGAAAGAATAAAAATATTGTGATGATTTTATAGCCATTAGTCTTAACAAGCAAATTGATTGTAAAAAGACTAATTAGAATTTCTGCACTATTAAAAGGTTATAGAGAATTTTTGGGAAGGAAGAATTAGACTTCTCTAAGCCATATTAAGCTGTCAATGAAAACATTTGTTTTAGATATAGTTTCATTCTTTTTCTGAATGGGTTTCTTTTTTGGGGACAGTAAGTGATTTTGGAGTAGGAATACAGGTTGTGAAAAAAAAGTAAAGTAACTAGACCATCATAGGCTGATTCTGCTCTCAACCTTCTACATGTTTAAAATTATCAGCACTTCCAATCTATAATCTTTAGTGCTTCTATCCTGTACATAAACTGTTATTATACAAACCCTAAAATATATTACTTAGAAAAATCTTGTATGTTAAATATTTTCTTTCAGTTTCAACCATAAAAATCCGGAGGATCCCAATGAAGTTCCTGGTGGGTTTATTTCAGACTGCAACAAGGTAAATGAGCTTCTGTTTACTTTGCTTTTGTCAAAATTGAGGAGAAAATATGCTGCAAACACTTAACAAGACTTTATCTTATAGTAAAAAAAAAAAAATCTGAGATAATTTAACCTAGGATCTTCATCAAATAATTTGATGTTAAAAATGTTACCCTGCATGTTATTACAACTTAAGCAGCAGAATAAGAGTTCAGAAAGGTATTTTCTGTTGCTTGAGAACCCATATATGGATGTTATCCTTCCCTTATCTTCCTGAAAATGTACTGTCTATTAGCTGTCTGTATGTGAAAATCTTACAAGGAGATTCTCTAATATTTTAAATATATAAGTAGCTCTTGAGTTTTATGCTGTAATGATCTTGAACTTTATCAAAATAAAGTTTAGTGACCATCAATTTTGTTGTTGTTCTTGTTGCATTGAACTGTACACAAATATGTATTTGCATAATGAGCATGGTGCTCATTAGGCACTGTCTAAATATATTCTTGAAGAAATAAGAAGAAAAATGTGTTATGGCACACAGCATGTAAAAATGTTTTTTTTCTCAGGATTCCCTTAAGGTGATCCCAGGTACTCTGATAGATACATCTGTAAAGTCAGCAAAAATATATGACAAGTTCCAATTTGAAAGGCTTGGATTCTTCAGCATAGATACAGATTCAACACCCCAAAAGGTAAATTAAGATATTTCTCTATGAATTATTAAGGCTTCAGCTATAGTGTTAGGGGTTTATAATGAAACTTTGTTTTATGTACTATCTGAATAGCCGAAGTACAAGCAGCAAGATTAGCTTAGATCACTTTTTGATAGGACACTCATATTGGGATTTAACATTGTTTCTTTGATGTGAATTGGCAAGAAACTTGATAATACATAAGTGAATTTTTTTATATATAAAAGTAAGATTACAAAATAAATGTTAAGTCAGTGTTATGTGAAATTCTGCCAAACATTGGCTGTTATCCCTTCTAAGATTGTGGTTTTTAACTTTGCAATCATAAAGACCTTAGCAGTTGACATTTTGTATTCTAGGTTACATATCAAACATTTGATTTCATTACCTATTGGTAGACCAAGAAACCCTTGGTTACTCCTTTGATATTTCAATTTATCTACCTTATAGACCAAAAAAATCTTCATTTATGCCTTAGACATTTTAATTCATATACCTTTGGCTATACATCTGACAATTTGCTTCCTACACTTTGAGCAGTAGATCTAAAATATATTTGGTTATACCTCAGGCATTTAAATCCATATATTATATTGATTAAATTCTATTGATATTTTGTTACACCTCAAACATTTGAATTCATACATCTTAATTCTACCATTAGAAGACTAATTGCATAAGAGAACTCTGTAAAGTTAAAAGCCTGGACTAAAAAAATTTGATGTAATGCCAACCTGCAATTTGTTCCATATTATCTTACTTCCTTGGAAGGTTAGCGGTATCTTCATTTATCTTTTGTCGTTCACAATATGAAACAAACATCAAATAAAGATATATTTCTGCCTTTAAGCATTCAATTGATTATGATTAGGTCTCTTTTACAAAAATTTATATAATATTTTTGTATCCAACTATTTAAAAGTTGATGTATGAAATTTGATTTTTGTTTTCAGCTTGTATTTAACCAAACAGTGACCCTGAAAGAGGATGCTGGGAAGAACTGATGATAGAATTCTTTAAATTATTAGTGTCTTATAATTTCTAAAAATATTATTACATAGCTGAAAGTTTTGAACATGAAACACACAGTGATTTAGTAGCAATTTCTAAAAACTGGTGAAGGTAATGTTACCATTTCTTGTGCAACAGTTACCAGCTTTGTGTCAAGGGTAGCAAGAATTTATGTTAAGTAACGCAAATTTTGTACTAATATAGCATACAATTACTCTATCTTAGCATCATACACAGGCACATAGTTTTCTATGGTTCTCTACAGTAAATTTTAACCAAAGTTCTCACAGAACATATAAACAGGAGGAAATAAAATTTCTTTTTATCTTAGAAGTTTTTGTTGCGATTTGTATGATGTAATGAAGTTAACTTATGAATATTCCTAACAGACGTTTTTGTATTTAAGACACCTACCTGAGGTTTTCATATGTGAATTAGAGTATTAACAGGTAAAGTTTTAGTTATGAACCACTATCAAGGACATATAGTATATGGTGACTGAAATCTGCTATGTGTTGATACTAATGCATAAAATTTAAATCTAATATTTTTAACCTGTATTTAATAGCTTAATCTTCCAGTGATTTATTTCTTGCTGATTTAGATTTCTACACTATACCACATTAAATTGCAAAAAAATGTTCATATTATTTAACTAAAACAATCAATGTGTCAGTGTTCTTAATTTTGGAGATTTTATTAAAAATAAAGCTTTGAATATTAAACTAAGTCCAAGTCAGGAATCAGTGTTTGACCATCCATTAGTATGACATTATTTATTAGATTTTTCAATTAAGATAGTATCGTGTAAAAATCATAACATTTTTTGTTTAACTTGTGAATTAGGTGTGGTTAAAGTTGCAGGTCATAAGGTACAAGTTTCAGGCTGCAATGTGCCATTAAACATACATTGCACTTACAGCTGTCAAGACATTATAATAGTGACAATATCCCACTATTTGGTTAATAATATCTCTATAAATGATGAGGGTTGTTGGCTTTATGCCTTCCCTCTGGCCAGCAATTCTAAATTAAAGATTGCTATTGTTATGCATTCACTGTTGGGTTTTTTTGACTTGACCATTTACCACATCAGTCACACAAAGTTGAAGGGGCTAAATACATACCATTTTATTTAGCAAGTTACATCAACAATTTATTATAATCAATTCGTAATGCATTGGTTTATAACCTTTTAACTTCAGTCAATCACAAACTCTTCTTTCACAAGTTTAACTATAAAAATTTGTAAATTGTGAACTTTCTTTAATGAAAATAATGTGACATCCAGTATCCTTCAAGATATTGTTTCTATACAAATCACAAATAAATCATTTTAACAATATCTACTATAATAATAAGAATAACGTGTGTGTCAAAAAGGTCTAGGTTTTAGTATTGTACAAGTTATTTCTTATCCATGCATATCTGGCATAATAATTGGTCATTTCACCAAAGTAATAAATGTTAAGTAAAAGTAAAACCCCTAAAGACCCTACATTGTGATATGCACATACATGTTTGTGTATTTTTTACAATAACACATAATGTTGCTAAACTCCTTTTGCTCTAGCTAATTACTGTTCTGGACCACTCCTCTATTGTGTCACATGTGCTTTCTAGTGAGAAAGATTTCTGCAAAATAGAATGTAAACTATGTGAAGGAGGATAGTGATATTTCACATTGGCAGGTCAGGTGATATCTTTAGGTTATCACTAAACATGCTAATGCTTAGTATATAGGGATGTGGTGAGAAAAGAAATAGCCACCGCATTCACTCTATGATGCTTACAAATAACTGCTAAAGTTGAGATATAGCCTTATTTCAGCACCTAATTGCCATTATCGAGTGTTTAACAGCTTGTGAGATTCCCAAGATCAAAAGTGCTTCCAAAGTGGAGAACTGAGAACTAGCTAAAGAGCCAAAGTGTTCATCTTGCTTTTTTCTTCTCACATGCTATCCAAAAAATGAGTCGAGTTTTTGCAATGGCTTTAGTATGACAGAAAAGCATCTTAAGAGCAATTGGGAACAGGCTATCATTAAGCACGGTAGTGTTTAGTATGTAAGGATGGGCCGAAAAAATTGGCAGCCGCATTTAATCTGTCACTCTATTATGCTTACAGATATCTGCTAAAGTTGATATCTTACAGATATGCTTACAGATATCTGCTAAAGCCTTATTTGATCACCTAATTGCTATTATTGAGTGTTTCACAGCTTGTACAACAGTAATATTATTCTGTTCTTCTACCACATGCATTTATGTGGGGAAATATTACAAATGAAAACTACTATTTAGCAGTGAGTTCAGTTTATAAGCAAATGTTGGGGTGAAGTTGGAAAGTGTGGGTTCTGTGAATATCCCCTTAATGTTGGACCAGTGCTACAGGGTATTTGTACTGTCCTAGAGGAACCAATCCAGCTTCACTACCCCCCAGTGTAACCCAAAATTAGAGAAATTGATAGGTTATTAACAATATATATCACCATTGAATTATAATAATAAAACAAATGCCCATTTACTAACTTACTACAATAAAATTGTTTTAAAAAGGGGGGTGGGACAAATAAAGTTGTTTTTTTTAATTAAGTATGATGTAGGTATGGTAATGTCAAAAGTACAGAAACAAAGTAGTTATGAATACACTAAACCATACAAAAATCCTTACATAAGTATCCAGTAAGTACTGAGTCAGTCTTACAAGCTTATGATTGTTAGCCACTCTAAGTCTGTATGACACTATTCAGTTTAAATGCTTTTATTCTAACCTGAGTTCATGCAACTGACAAGAATTCAACAATTAGTTGTAGGTAAAAGTTATTTTTTGAAACATTTGGCTACTTATGTAGCGATTTTTTTTATGATTTTGTGTATTCATCCGTACTTTATTTCTGTACTTTTTTGTCATTACCATCCCTACATCATACTTATTTTTTGCAAAGTGTTTTTCTACTTGTATATATATATATATATATATTCCTTTATTTTGCTATTGGAATGACCATTTTTGATGTGGGTAGTACACACACACCGAGAGGGATGGTATTATAGGATTTTGTATATAGTACTGTGACGTCTTAACCTGGACCTTGTTCAACAGATTCAAGAAGCTTTTCATAAGTAAATCTTGAAAGTTCCAATAAAAGTGCTATCAATTATATAATGTTGTTTTACATTTGTTCACACACTGTCCAGTCAGAGAATCCAGGTTGAATTCCTTGAGATATTTCCTCTTTTATCCTCGTATTATTAGTAAATACTAACAGATTGATAAATCAGTGTACCTGAAAATACCACAACAGTACCCATTTATTTGAGGAGGCTCTATTTCCAGCTTCAAAAAAATCTCAAGTATGAAGAACTGAAAATAACAAGAGAAGTTTGCAACACTAACGTCTTAATAGTTACATATCCAAAACTTAATCTGGTGCACCACACTTCTATCACAGGAATACTGTCTAAATGAAGTCTTAGAAAGACCAGATAAGATTAGAAATTAGTTACAAGTCAATGAAAGTTAACAAGCTCACAATGTAAATTAGAAATATTAGTCTTTTAGAATAATTCTAGAAATTACTTCAATAAAAAGTACCATTTTACTTGCTAGAAAACTAATGTTGATCGACTAAGATAATTTTAGGCTGCTAGAGAAAGCAAGTCAACGTGAAGCAGATACGGGAGAAAGAAAGATTGTATAATGACACGAAACTCAAAATTAAAGACCAATACAGTATCCCACAATCCTAGATTACGTATCTCAAAGATCATTCCTATTGTACAGATTCAAGGGAAGTAAATCCCAGCTCGTATTATACAAGTCTGAAATTAGAAGTGCATTGACAATAAAATGATCAACTGAGTATAAGTTATATTGAACAATGGTTTGTGGTGTGCTATATTTATCTAAGCCTTCCTAAATCCTGTTTTCAGGGATGCAACTAACTGCAGGAAGAATATTTGCATAAAATTTACCAAAATAATGTTCATATTTTAAAGCACTTACGGAAAGGTAAAATCAGCAAGTCTTTTAATCGTGATTCAGTGTGTTCATTTTTTTTTAATGCCCAGCAAATTTTGGAACCAGTTTTTCCTCTATTCTTCAGATTTGTGTTTAATTTCTAAATTAAACGTTTTTTTTTTCCTTTTAAAGATATTCTTTCACTACATAACTATTAAGTCATTGGGACCTCATTTTTTCACCAGGCTGCATGCGATAAGTAGTTTTGTCTATCAACACGTGTGAGAAAATAAACAACTTTGTACTAGTATAATGAATATTTCTAAAATTTTGCAACATTTCTCCAAAGAACACAATGGAAAGCTCAGTACTGAAAATCACAAGATCCTTTTTGTAAAGCTAATGACAGATTTTAATTGATTGCTTAACTTGAAATCAACTATAAATGTATATCTTCCTCTTAAAAAAAAAAGTTATTCATAAGGTAGTTAACAAGTATTCCAGACAGTTGATATTATCAGCAATGAATAATAACTTATGTTTATGTGAACTTCACTAGCCTGTTTTATATGACGATGGACGTGATTATTAATCTAAATATGACCAAACAAACTACCATTTCAACCTACACATCTAATTCACAGTTTCAGATGCTCTAACTTTGCTTCAGGATGGACTTTGATTACTAAACGTTACAGAGAGAACATTGGTCATTAACCATTTCAGAGCAAACTTTGATCACTAAGTCTACTTTCAGTATATAAACTAACAACATTTTCAGGTTATACTTTTGTTGCTAAGCAACATAACATAAAAGCCATTTTTGAAAATGCATATCAGACAGTTTGATTTTATAAAGAGTAATAGATAGATATTTTACATACTCAAATATTTTCTAAAATCTACAGCACTTTTGGTAGGTGGATAAGAAAGCCCAAGACTTCAATCCCTCAACATGCTACCAGACACGATCCATGGGTAGGTGTTCGGCTTTTTCAGATGTATATAAAGAGCATAGCATGGTATAAGCTACTGGTGGTCTTAATGCTTGTCCCCGTTACCCAGATTTTGAAAGCATCGCTAGACCTGATGTATCTTACAAGATAAATCGAATGGTTTGTCATTTTTGATCAGATCATTTGGCTCAAAGTTTCTTTTGTACTAGACATGTTTGGTGGGTATCACTTGTTATGGAGTAGGTCAGTGAAATGGCCATCAGATTAGTTCAGAATTGTATGTACCTAACCTCATACATGAGTAATTTAGGCAGGTCACTTAACTGTACAGCATCAGAAATGATTCCGATTGGTTTTACATTTTACAAGCTTTGTGCATTCAATTATAAAATACCACGACCAAGAAAGGTTTCGTACGTGAAGCACGAGTTTTCCCCTAGTTTAAAACATTTCAATGCACTATGTATATTATCTTATTAATTTTAGAAACAATTTTTAGGGTATACAAGAACCCTAACCAGAAGAATAGCTATCAAGTTAAATGTTAGGTCATCAAGAAATTAATGTTGCATTTTGGTAAACTTTCATAAACCACCTCCCAAAAAACGTTAGTGTAGCCTATATAATGTGTAAAGTTTAGTATACAATAATCCGTTGTAGTGATGGCACATGACGAGACACACATTCGACATTCTATATTTCTGTCTTTGCTTTGTGCAATGAACACTAAACTAAAATGTAATGAAAAAGAAATAGGCTAAAAACATAATTTAATGTTTAAACATTATCTACTTTTTATTTTCATATTTGATGGAAAAGCTGTAAGTAAATATTGTCATTTTTGGACCATTATAAAAGTAACAACTATTTAAACAGATTAAGTTAAAGTCACTGAAAAGCACATAATAAAACAACTTATTACAAAAGTACATTAATTTATAAAGAAAAAGCTTTAAACAGGAAATGTTAAAATATAAATAACGCGTGTCCTTATATTCATAACGTAAACTGTACAAAAACTTTTCTATGTACAAGTTAAATAAAATTTATGAATTAATACTTTTGTTTTTAATAGTTGCAAAAATCAAGGAAAATCTTCATTTAATGTTGTATAGCATTTCTGGCTTTCGTCAAAGCTTCCAAGAACAGAGTCCTCACGTCTTTCTTCAAAAATCTCACACACAAAGACAATCTATTTTCAAAGTACACTTTTAACCAATACCCATAAGTACGAAGTTGTGGAAATTTATCTTCATCATAACATATCGTTGGAGATTCGGCTTCAGCACTACTATTCTGCAAATTAGCTGGTTCCTTTCCCATTTCAAAATTAACAATATTGGACTTAACATCAATTGTTTTTAGCACAATCAAAGGTGAGGGTAGACCTTCTGGACGAGGAAACGAGTGAATCTCCATTTTTTCACATGTCAAAATTAAATGGAAATTTGTTACTAAGAGAAAGTGGAAGTAATTCTGGAGATGGGCTTCCTGTTCTATTAGGCTGTTTGTTAGAACTCTTTCACAAAAAAGAATTTTAGGATTATGAGAAAACACCTCTGATGATGGGAAGTTGTACCCTCCAGAAATAAGTAATGATGTAAAATCACATTCACTATACTTGAGCTTAATATCCAAATTGTACGCCAAAATCAAGTGATCTATTAGTTTCTTTGTATCATCTGCACTGCATGGAGCTAAAACAAAGAGGTCAGTTTGACCCGAGCTTTGAATCTGGAATTCCAAGTAGCTGCTGACAGGTCCAACAAGAATATTAATCAGAGAAGAGGGCAGCCAACACCGATAGAAGATCAGATGAGGTAGAAAAGAGTGGCCATAAGACTGTAGTTTCCACAAAGTTATCACATTAGGAGTTAGAACCACACACAATGGGACTTCTTGTCTTGTTATTGGTCCATGGAAGCTTATGGGAAGAGCAACTACCCACGTTGACCACAATACTTGATCTAACTGACAAACACCTTTCAATTCATTGCATCTGTTATTGGATTCATGCTGTCCTTCCTGTACACCCTGAAGTAACTCCACTAAATAGTCTTTAAAGCTTGAGTTTCTAGTGTCTAGACAAGTCACAAGTTCTGGGAGCATCATCTCACCAACACTGGAGTCTTTGGAGTTCATGACAGGGCTGGGAGTTTGTCTACTCGTGTTCAACATCTCTGGTAAGCATGCACAAGTTGAGAAATCTGTCTGTTTCTGATCAATGGTTGTAGTCAAAGAACCAGAAGGTTTTGAATTAGATGAATATAACATTTGCTGAAAAAAAAACAAAAAACATTTAAATATAATTTCAGAAAATTAAGGAAAAAATCTTTGCTTAGCAATTACTCAGTGTATGGATTACACGTGCTATGATACCTATTACCCAATCCTTCTAAAATAGCCCCGTGTGTGTTATGAAAAACATAAGAAATTTTTGGTATTGTTTAGAACAAGACAATTGGGGTAACATACAAACACAAGATTTACAAAATAAGCACTTTAAACTTTAAAAACAGGTTTTCCCCCCTTGATATACCAGATCTAATACACTGATAAAAATCACATCTTACTTAGCAATAAATTGAATACTGAATACAACTGCTTAATTTATAATATTAGACCTCAAATGACTTAAGATAACAAGTACCATGTTTAAAAACAAAAATCCTTTCTTGCAAAGATATTTTTCAGTATTGAAAATATTAAAATCAAACCTATCAATATTGAATGTTCATATTTTGAGGATTCAGTGAAATTTCTTGGTAAACATAATTTCTAAAAATGAATCTTACTTTTCTCTGTTCTCAAATTCGTATTCTAATGCATCTTGCATGCACAAAGTATAAAAAAAACATATCAATGATGTTCACTGTAAGATATCTAAATACTAAGCTTGAAAACATTTCTCAGAAATATTTCAGAATTTTAATTCAAACTAGGAGTGCCTGTGCAAGACTGACTAAATAATAATGCATTTCTTCCTAAAACATCTGAAACTATAATTCCCAATTAAACTCCACCAAAAAAACAGTTATACTACTGAAAATAATACAAGACAATGAGGTGATAGCTGACAAGAAGCTGAAATCTGTGTAGCTTCTTACAAAAACAGTTATATTACTGAAAATCATACAAGACAATGAGGTGATAGCTGACAAGAAGCTGAAATCTGAGTAGCTTCTTACGATGTGATGTTCTTAAAAAATGGTGACTGGTAATTTCACTCTCCATAGTAAAAAAAAAAAAAATTAATGAACATTAAAAGTGACATATTAAAAAAAATGAACTTTTAAAACTACATTTATTAAAAGTTATGTAGGTTATGAGCTATTTATATTAAATTTATTACTTTAAAAAGTATAAAGATATGAACAAATGGCTTCAAGCTCTTCTTGCTAGATATAATCCAGATAACAATAGCTCATAACCTGCATCAGTTTTAATAATCTTTAACACATGTCATTTTTAATGTTTATTTCTTTAATATATGCCACTCTTAATTTCACATGGTTGAGTGAAATTACTTGGCGTCAAATTACCTAGAACTCTTAAAAATACCTACAACCCCATTCCATAGTTACTGAAAATAAAAATGACAAATTAAAAATACCTTCATTTATTTATTATAATCACATCTTACTCGTTCATCTCAATGTGGAAAAGTAGCTTCGTTCGTTATACATCACATCTTACTCGTTCATCTCAATGTGCACAAATGTGGAAAAGTAGCTTCGTTCGTTATACATCACATCTTACTCGTTCATCTCAATGTGCACAAATGTGGAAAAGTAGCTTCGTTCGTTATACATCACATCTTACTCGTTCATCTCAATGTGCACAAATGTGGAAAAGTAACTTCGTTCGTTATACGTCACATCTTACTCGTTCATCTCAATGTGGAAAAGTATCTTCGTTCGTTATACATCACATCTTACTCATTCATCTCAATGTGGAAAAAATATCTTTCATTCTTCATTTTTGGCCAGTATACTAAAACTATTTATTCGATATGACTAGAAATATTATTAACATTACCACCCTTTTGAAGTTTTGAGGTCAAAAGGTACTTAATTTTTATACTGAAGTTACTTGTTAACTCACACCTAGCAATGAAAATATCACTCATTCCCACTATTTTCAACTAAATCAAGAATTTTCATAATTAAACTACTGAAGGAAGCAAAGACTGAGAAATACAATAGCAAAAGACTGCTAAGATAAAATACAAGCATCATAATTGACATAAATAGGCTTTGCTCTTTGCAAGAGTTCACTTTCATGTAAACAAATTTTTCTTGAATGAAAATTACACACATCTGTTGTATTTCATTTTTTATGTAAAAAATCAGAAGTCTTGTCATTTCTCAGATCACTTGAGATCATTAAATCTCACGTAGGCACATTAACCACGAGGCCTTATCTGGTACATCATTAAGAGTAGATATAGTGAAAAACAGATACTCTTCTCCTCAGTAACCCACAGATAGCTGAATGTTAAGTCTCGGCAATGTGGATATTTCATATAAACTGTGCTATATTTCATAACTAGACCTTATAAAATTAAGTAGTCACATTATTGTGATAAAACTACAAATTTGACTTGTCTTAGTACAAAAATTGTACTAAAAAAAATTCATTAACTTCACATTTGTAGGTACTGCCATTGGACTATAAACCTGGAATTCATAAATTGTGCTTCATACGTTGGAGCCATAAATGCACTTTAAAAGTGGCAATCAAATCCTACTATTTCACCAGACAATCACAGCCCAAGAGTGGACAGTGGATGCTGTTGACTAGCTGCCTTTCTTCTAGTCTATCAGTTAAGGATGACTTAATGCAAATATCCCTCGTGAAACTTTGTCCAAAAATAAAAATTCTAAGAAATCATTTCAGAGTAATCGTTACAAACAGATGGGTCACTCTCATAAAGAGTACTCAGAATTTTGGAAGTCATTGCATAAATACTAGTTGAGATCAGTATTATTAGACTCCATAATGTTATATTTATTACGGTGTATACAGTTTTTAGTGTTTCATGATTTTTTAACTTCCCAAACAAGTTGTACATCAGTGTCAAACCTACCTAAGTGATTTCCATGTGAGGTAGATTCCACACTGCTACACTTTGTTCCTTCTGATATGGTAAAGGTTAAACTGAATGCCACAATACTACAACATTCAAACCTCACCTGCTCCTTTATAAATTGGTTGTAGAGACGAAGCCAGTCGCTCCCCCCTAGCCTCCTTAATGTAGCCACCTGATAACGAAGCTCAGAAATGCTGCTGTCATTCTTTGTCAGGTGACTTGGGTAGGATGCCCGAGTCACTGACAAGATCCCTAAAACCCAGAGTAAATCACATCAATACTTTCTTGTTACATGGTGGATCAAAACAACACATTGGCATCGTAATTCACAAACTTTTGCTACTTCTTACACATCTTGAGTTCAGTGCTGAGTCATTTTACAGCAGAAGCCCAGAACATTGTCTGAGAAACCAACAGAAGAGGTAGAAAAAGTTTGTTAAACACTTTCAACATAGCAATACTTGAAGACAAACAAACTGTAGCATACAAGTAACTTATGTGTGCCGACATCAGAAAAGTTACCAAGGTTTGGCAAAAACAAATTTAAAGATACACAAAAAAGATTACATAATGGTATAAGTTATCAAATCATAAGAATAAGCCTGTGGTATACATTAAGTCAATAAACCAGAGTAAAAGAATTGACAATAACAGGAATAGTTTGAAAATGTCTTGAAACTAGGGAAAACAGATTATGTATTAATGCACCTCAATACATGTAACTCAGAAACCATGGTAGAAGAAGTTAAACTGTCAAGATACTAGATTAGAATAGTTTTACAAGAAATTAGAGTAGAAATTACTGAGAATAATGCAAGTGATGAGAGGTAGTTACCAAGCAAAATCAGGCTATGGAAAATCAAAAAGTATTCCAATTATTATCATTTAAACTGCACACATAAGAAATAAATGTGCAACACAATCAAGCCATGTAAAAAGCAAAGCAAAATAGTTTTATCAATATACATTGTAGTGTTTATAAGATGACCTAATGCTAATGACACTTATATTTAGAGAAAAATCTAAAGTTTCTACTAAACAAAACATCTTTCAAAATTAGAAACTTAGTCAAGGATGAATATTTATAATAGGCTATAGAAACTGTGATTGACAACAACTCCTTATAAAGTTTGAAGAACGAGATATTATTGTGCTACAAATATACAAACGAGTTTACTCTACATTTTCTAATATATATATATATATATATAT